CTGCGAAGAGAAAAGATAGTTTTTCCTTCTTGGAAAAAAATTATCATAAAACCAGTACCCTGTGTAAGTTGCGGTTGAAATGTATCGAAATAAAGTAGTTTTACAATATATTTTTTTCTGAATAGCTTTTTCATTGTACTTAAAATCAAGATTGAATTAAAATTTATTAAGAGTTAGATAAAGTGACTTGACCTTTCATTTACTTTCTAATTAGACAGAAACTTGCTCATTTAAACGTTGCCATTTTTGTTGCTCAACCTTGTGCAAAATAAAAACTTCATGACCGAAACAATTCTCGTGACGAATGAATTAATGTAAGGTGGGAAATAAATAGGTTAATAAATAATCTGCAGAGCTGTAGGTTTCGGTTAAAAAGTATTAAGATCAGTAACTTAAAACTCTCAGTGTCTGGTGAGTTTCAACATCGCAATAGCAATTCAGCATATAGCGAGAAATTTTACTGCTTTCTGGGTAAAATGTCCGAATGATATTTCCGATATAGGCCCTAGATTATATAACAGGTAATAAACATTTTTCTTGGGGTCTCTGCCAGAGCAATTTCAGACCAAGAAAAGATGAAAATAACAGGAAAAGGATACGACGAAGTCGAAAGATAATCAAGATGAGGGTAAATGGCGTCAATAAAGTAAAACAATTTCGAGCTTTGTGACCCTTCGTCAACGAGGTTACCACGGGTTTCTATAATTTGGTCGAAGTGCGCTCCCTCCTTCAATTTTAGTTTCTGAAGCATACTTCAAGAGAATGCACTTAGAATAACTCATTCAAAAAATTATCTCACAAAATTGTTTTGGTAAGCGAAACCAAAACACTCGTCAAACTTAAATCTTACCAACAAGATATGTCACGGAGCGAATGAAGAGATGTACCAATTGTAATACAATCAAGAAAAATCCATTTGTCGCGGCTTTTGGAAAAATTAATTGAAAGGAACAGTGCTGTTTTCAACTTATCAAACGATTTTTCTGTGCGAAAGGAAGGGAAATAAAAAGGGGCTAAAATTCCTATCTTCGTACTAGATATAATTTACGTGCAAGCTTTAGTCCAACGCAAACGGACGGTAAATAAGCCATTTCCCACTAAGGTGATAAATTAAGCTGAGATTGTTAGTCATTACCACAGTTAAGTACTAATAACAGCCCTTGAAAGGAACTTTCACCAGCACTTCACGATCAAATGTTACTCCTGGGTTCAAACCTTTCACTGTAAAAAAAGCTATCTTTTTCAAAGTGCAGTGTCTAATAGCAATGTTGGCAACTTTTATGTTAGAAATAAGGCAGTGGTTCGAATCCCGTACAGGCCNNNNACCTCCTCATGTGGCTTAGATCTGATCTGTTTAATTCCAAAGAGCGCTGAGAAAAACAGTGGTAGTGAATTTGGTATATAGGTAAGTCCCTGATATCAGTCACGGCAGCTGTGCGCAGGTCGAGTGCAAATTCATTGTTAGTGGATGGTGCAATACCAAAATGAAGAAAAGAAAAAGAGAACTGAGACAACACATTTTTTAAAAAAAATTTACCCAGAACCCGATGTAGATAGACAGTTATAAAGTCACTAAGTTTGTTTTAATTAAAACAAAAAACACTCCAGATATTTCATTCATCATAGAGGTCATCAGATTTATTCAACTGTTACCGTCCATTTTTTTTTTAATTAAAACATTTAATAATGAGAGTGCGAGCTGGGAAACTAAATCAACCAGTTTGCTTCTTCTTAGCTTCCCGGAAAGAGAAGTCGTTGCAGGAAGTGGCTGCCTGACTGAATCGCTTATTTGATTCGCTTCCTTTATTCATGTGATGAAGGTAAACAACACGGCGCCTGTAATTAAATAGTATAATTATAAGACTTATTTAAGGATCCGTGACACCAAACGCTGCTGCAGATACTGCCCCTTTGATATTTACTTTCTTATGTTAAATTGCAACGCTAAAGGAAGTTGGATTGCATTGCATCTAAAAACCTGCAAACGTGTCTTTCCACATCCTTGTCTTTGAGCAACTCATATACTAAGGAAGTTAGATTTGACAGACTTCCTTATGAAACGTGTAGGGCTTGTTTCAGCGTCCTTTGTATTCTCGTTTATGATCGTCTCATACGGTGAGTACGAAAAATAATATCGACAGTATCAGTCATAACAAGTTTTAACAGAGGTACTATTGATAAAATGTTGATTAAGCACACGTTCAAAGGTCCTTACCGGAGATCTGAAGATAAATAACCCTCCATATGTTATGCCTAATAAGCAACAGTTAGCGCTAATTTAAAAGTCGAACGATGACCCACGTACGCAACAGTCTGAAATTGTAATGTTATCCCATAACCTAAAATTTTTGAAACTTGACCCATGGAGTTGACCCGTTTTTAGTAATTTAAAGAGAGAGCGTTCTACCGTTTAAACTCAGCAAATTATGTAAACCGAAGGTATGATCTTTTCAGTTACATCCTTTGACCAATACTTCACCGATTCCCTCGTACATAAATCACAAACCATCTCGCTCTTAAAAGAAAAATCACCCCGCGCAAATAACTTCGCAAGAATGGATCTTTTACCCAGTTGATCGCTGAGTTTTGATTGCCACTTGCGTTAGTTTCGATGTTAGCGATGGACGGGAAATTTCTCTTTAAAGCCTTCTTTTATCCAAATTGCTGCAATGTAATAATCGCACCCAGGGCACGAGTCAAAGACATTCAAATAAAAGCGGCATTCAAGTTCTTCGTTTCCCTGAAAGAAAAAGGGTCTGATGGACCAGGAAAAAATCGTTTAGCTGTGCCATCGCGTATGTCTTGCGTAACATAACACGCACTTACTTTACTCTACTTGTAGACAGATGTTTAACTTACAACAACGAAAAGAGCTTTAGCGCGACCCAACCCTTAATGAGTCCTAATTAGATTCAAACATGTTTTGGAATTCGCGGTAACATGATAAAATTGTAATTGACTAAGCTATGTCGTACTCAACGGGAAATATTTGGTTCTCAGTCTTCAGGTATGTCACGACTAAGCGTTTCACAGGCTGGCCCTCCCACTCAGTTAACAAGTACCTCTTCATAAAATAAAATTTGATTTTTGCATAATTAACATTCGCAGAAGCAGTACTAAGTAATCCTTTGTTGCAACTTTGATAGCTTCCTGTCCCACCCTTGGACCAGTAAGGAGCGGAGTTATCACACATGTCACACGGAAGGGAGGTGGTGAAGTTGAGATAAAGTGTCATGCTAATTATACGTTGATTGGATCCTCAAGATTGAGCTGCATAAATGGAAAGTGGAATGACAGTATTCCCTCATGTGAAGGTATGTCTGATGCATGAAATTCCCACCAATCTAGGATTAAAGGAAAAAAAAATTTTCACGGGTTCCTCTTGGGAGACTCCACTTGGAAATAATTTCAAGTAAAAATAAAAAAAAGTCGAACGGTGCCCCTGCAATTGACAGAAACATGAAATACGAGTCCTTAAAGCGCCACGTGTTGGATTAAATAGAACCATGACCAAGGATCCTTGAAGGATCAAACGTAGACTAATCACGTGCTGCCGATTACAGTTGTCGCGTCTTTATAATATAATATCCATAAATTATCAAGTAACCTTAATTAAACACCAAATTCTCGTAACCAATTTATAAGGAAATGTGTAGCAGCTAAAGGGGAGAATTAACAATCAGATTTTGGGAGTTACAGGGTTAAAACAAGTTCCGCTTTCAGTGACCACAACACAGGTGGAAGACAATAAATCGGCAATTGGGACTCAGTCAAAGATGACCACAACCGTATATGTGCACGATCCTTCGCAGTAAAGCACTATTTGAGCAATAGTGAAAATCAGACCTGAAAAAAATTTCAGGCCTGTACGGGATTCGAACCACTGACCTCTGCGATACTAGTGCAGCGCTCTACCAATTGAGCTAACAAGCCAACTGGGAGCAGGCCATCAAATTAATTCGACATAAACCCGTAGATGAGATCAGATTAGTAGATTAATTCGACATAAACCCATAGATCAGGCCTGAAATTTTTTTCAGGTCTGATTTTCACTATTGCTCAAATAGTGCTTTACTGCGAAGGATCGTGCACATATACGTTTCATAACCGCAGTTCATACATATGTTTCATATGTTTGTTGTTGTATGACCACAACCGTTTGATAAAGGTTAATACTTCAGTGCTTTAGGCGAACAAATTTCCGAACTTTGACAACCGTCCTCTTAAAACGGGGTGACCGCTTGATACAATGCCGCTTAACCCTTTAACTACCAGAAGTGATTTACAAGTAACTTTTCCCTGTAATATCACTAACTTATCAGGTAACCTTGGTTGAACACCAAATTCTCGTAAGCAATTTACAAGTGAATGTGTAGCAGCTAGAGGGGAGAATTAACAATCAGATCTTGAGAATTGAAGGGTTAAAACAGGTTCGACTGTATCATAAGTCAAGTTCAACGTATGCTATTCTTTTTCTAATAATATACATGAAAAAATTTCTCAGTTCTGATTGATTAAGATGAATGCAGTTTTCAGTTAATTCAGTGCAAAAGAGGGTTAATTCAGTGCAAAGAAAGAAACTAGGCATTCTGATTGGTCAGTAATTGGTCAATTGCACCCGATGCGCGCGCTTTTCTTCTGCGTAGTTATGAGGTATTTTTTCATGTATATTATTAATACATAATCACAGGATTTTCTCGTGCAATTTGGAATGAATAAGCACTTGTAAGTTTTTTTAAAGACCACAAATTGCACTCGCTCTACGGACTTATGTAATTTTGTTAGTCTTTGAAAAAATTTACTCGTGCTTATTTATTCCAAATTGCACTCGAAATCATGTGATTACCTATACAAATTTGCTAGTTGCATGTAACAGATTTGCATGGCAAGTCATATGTTAAAACTGTACAGAAATATCAAACCTAGATACCACCCTGAAATCAAAATGCTTTTCCTTTCATTCACTGAATTTTTTTGCTGTTGTTGTTAATTATCGAAAGTTGCGGATTGTGGCCCCTTACAAAAGCCAGATCACGGAGATATAATCGAGCAAGTAGCGTTTACCTATGGAAATAGAATAGTCTTTGACTGCACAGAGACAGGTTACGAAATGAAAGGATCAAAAGTAAAGACATGTCAAAGTGACGGAACATGGAGTGGCTCTCCTACAACATGTGAAAGTAAGTAAGAATTAAATTGATAAGTTTTAAAGAAATCACGATTAGGATCACGATCATTATTTAAATAACAAACTTTGCTTTGATATAAAATTGTAACCTTACCAATTTGGCAGACTGAAAGACAGGCAGAAAGACAGACAGAAAGACAAACATACGGCGAACTGATGGATTGGTCAACAGATGAATTGATTGATCGACTAACCAATTGATCTTTACAGTTGTTCAATGTGGCGATCCTGGAACACTTCAAAACGGAACCCAGACGGTAACTAAACGTTACGTGTACGGTGGATCTGTCAAATTTAAATGCAACAAAGGTTACACTCTGGTAGGGACGCGCATCATCTACTGCCAAGCGAACAAACAATGGAGTGCAGCTGTTCCGCATTGTCGAGGTCTGAGTTATTTCTTGACATTACTAGACAGACCTACTTTCTTGCCCTTTCCTAAACACCCAACCGTGAAAAAAATTACCATAATTTAAACGAATCAAGACACCTTCTCGGATCTTCAAGGAAGCATTCTGGTTTCATACCACTTTAAATACAGTCAAAGCTGTAGTAAACGGTCAGCCACGGGCAAAGGCTGCTTTATACAGGTTGACCCCTTAGTAAAGGTTCAACGGAACAGAGGTATTATAAAAAAATAATGAAAAATTATTACATAATTGACCGCTTACTGTAAACTGACTCGCTCAAAAATACTACTAACATTGATTTTGGGAGATAAACATGGATTTAATAGAAATATTATTCTCAGTTTCATTTGATTGTTTCTTCTTTAATTGACCGTTCAATAGAGGTAGAGGTCGATCAGGGTTTGACACTAACTTTTCAACTTACTAGCCAAGTAGCTAGTGACATCTTAGATGCTACGACAATTTCAGTTTGTTTACCGGCCAAACTGACTAGTGGAAATCGAAAACCCTTGGTCAAAACTGAATTTATACTAGTCTATGGCTAGTGGGCTACCGTTAGTGTCGTGTCCTGGTTGGTTCAAACAGGAGGTTGGGACTCAGTAAACAATGACCACGACCACTTTATAGAAATGACCGCTTAATAGAGGTGAAATCTACATTGATTCAGAGAGAAAGAAAATCGGGACTTTGACAACCGACAACCTCGTTCCCGGGGGTCTCTCATCTTCCTGCCCCCTGGAGCGAGTGAGGAGAGACCCTGGTTTAGGCTGGTCACGTGTCTCCCAGATTTGAGGAGATTTCAAATTAGCGGTTTGATGGAGGGGCAGATAAGTGGGATTTTCTCTCCACTTAGTCCACTGGCGAGCGTAGCTTATAAGCAATCAAAACAAATTACATGTGAAGCCCTTCGAACCGAATCTCGAATGCCACTTAATGGCCATCACCTCTGTTGCGGAGGCGACGAAGTTTCTTTTGGCGGCCTCTCAGAAAGGTGAGTCATTTTTCCGAATTCTTCCCTTAAAATTACAAGTTTTGCGTAAAATTTGCAAACATTATTATAAAATAAATAGATTCCTAAACTGTCTGGTTCATTTTTGTTTTCATAATTAGATTTACTGAGCATATAGAGGGTTTTTGTGTGAGCGTCAAGTCTTCAGAAAGGAATCCGAAAAGCAGGTAAATCTGGGTAAATTTCCTCGGACAGTATTGCTTTATTTTTCATTTTAACCTTCATTTTTATCGTGTAAAATTAATCAGTGGCAGTTTAGGACCGCTTTAGAAAATGATTTTGCATTATTTATATTATTTTGCGCCATCTTTGTTCGAGCTAAAATCTTTCGTACTCTTCATAAGGTAATTCTAAGTTCTTTGAAAAGCTGTGTCATAGAAGAGCACGAATTCTCCGTCAGAAATGATGTGGACCAAATAAGAGCCTGTTAAAAGCTCTCGGATCTTCTTAAACGACGTCATAACAGCAAAACCGCCTGATTCCAGCAGATATTCTCTGACTAAACGTGTTTGTTGTTATTTGTTTCGGCGACCGCATCCAACACGCAAATCTTAAGGCTCGAATTTCCCGCGCAAAGCTGGCGGTCACGACCCATGCCCTCTCGGACGTGACCGCGTTCTTAAAGGCAGCCGCGTCCAGTATCTTAAGGTCCCTAATTTATGGCCGGCCGTTGAGACAAGAACAATTTTCTCCGCATCTATTATGTAGGCCTTGAAAAGACGCTTGAAAAATGAAAAATGTTATTTCTTTCAAAACGGTGATCAGTGAAAGTCAGAGTTTTATCGAAACGGTGAAGCGATGTACAGAAATATCACAATCTGTTTCACGCACCCTGGCTATGATGCAAGGGAATCTGAGAGAAGCCGTCGTGGTCTAAATTTCGTAAAAGCACCAACGCAAATGCAGTCTTTGGCTGGAAAAGAGGTGTACGAAACCGCTGACTTGAGTAATGGCATGAGCACTTGAGGATTACCCAAAATGGGTAATCGCAAGCGGAAATTCTGTCATAAACGTCCGTGATAAACGATTCATTGCGTGGCAACTTTTATTTCCATCATGTGTTTGCTTTTGGGGTATTTCGTCTTTTCATCGGTTTCCGTTGTGATTGAAGTAATTAAGCAAGCGAAAAGCGACTTTCATGTAGGATATTTGGTTCTACATGAACTCTCCAGTTTAAAAACCGGAAATCAAAGCTATAAGTAAGCGATTGACAACAGTCGAACTATGTCTGATATACTGACACAATATGTTAGAATTAAACAACATCAATAAAGTTATCAAAAAAAAAAAAAATGAAAGATTATTAGATCTTTTCTTCGTTCAGTTGTTTCCCAATCCCTGTTGTCCTCCTTGTGGTTGTCGTTGACTTCATCCTCCTCATTCTCCCCCACCCCCACCCCTACCTCCTCGTGTGGCTTAGATCTGCTCCGTTTCATTCCAAAGAGCGCTGAGCAAAACAGTAGTAGTGAATTTGGTTTATAGGTAAGTCACTGATATCAGTCACGGCAGCTGTGCGCAGGTCGACTGCAAATTCATTGTTTGCGGATGCTGCGATAACAAAATGATGAAAAGAAAAAGATACTGAG